CCAGCCCCCCCAGGCCCGCCCTCCTCCTGTTCCTCTGAGGGGCCCAGGGTGGAGTTGAAGCGGTTCTCTAGGACAGAGAGGCGGGAGGCTAAGCTGGTGTAGCCTGGGGGGTGGCCCCCCTGCCCCGAGGCGCCCCCCAGCTCAGTGCCTCGCCGCCCACTCAGCACTGTCACTGAGCCAGCCACTACGTCCAGCCTCCTCTCCAGGTCTGCCAGTCGCCGGGCCAGGTCTGGCGGGCAGCATTCCTGAGGTGGCCTGCGACCCATGGTGGGGCTCATTAGCTGTCGCTGTCGCTCCTCCACAGAGGCCAGTAACTTCTCTAGCACTCGCAGCCGCTCCCTGTCCTCCTGCTGCTGCTGGTGGAAGCCATCCAGCCCGGTCAGGCACACAGAGCACGATTCCTGTAGCCGCCGCTCTAGCTGCCGCAGTAGCTCCTCATTGGAGCCAGGAGGGGCTGGGACTGGGGCCGAGTCCCTGCTGCCTCCACCAGCAGCACCACTGTGATGATTGTTGAGGTGGCCCAGCTCTTGGTCATGGGTAGAGACTCGATTGTCCAGAAGCTGCAGCTGGTGCTGGATCTCATTGAGGGTTTCGTGTACACCAGGGCGGGCAGCTGCATCTGCTGGCTGCTGCCTCCCATTAAAAGCTGTCTCTACAGCCTTTTGCACATCTTCTGCCAGGCGTCCACTCAGTCCCTGAAGGACACCCCGAAGGCCTTGCAGCTCCTTGGTCAGGCTCTGCACCTGCTCCTCCAGCTGCTGTACCTTCTCTGACTCCCCAGGACCTGGAGAGAGGGAAAGGCAGAGGGCGGAGGGGCTGGATGTCAGAACACAGGGTCTACCCGCTAAGCCCTGCTTTTCCAGCTCCAGCAAGTCAGAGCCTCAGGCCTAACTGGCTCTGCTTCTTCTTTGGGTGATTTGGGCAAGAAAAGAAAAAAGAAACTCTGTTCACTGAATGCCTTTAGGCCAAATTTAAACCAAAGCTTTTACACCTTCTACCCTGGGCAGATATTACTAACTCTTCCTTCCTGTTTGGTGGATCAGGAAACGGAAGACCAGAGATACTAGGAAACTGGCCATGGATTAAAAGTTAAATGAGTAGCAACACCAAAATCAAGTCCAGATCATCTCTCTGGCCACCAAACCCATGTTCTTTCCACTGTGGATACTTGTCCACAGTTCCTCTTAACTTCTGACTAATCGCTTCCTCATCTGGGAAATGAGAATGACACTATCTGCTCTCCCTCTTAGGGCTGTCAAAAGGCACGGAAGGGGAATGCATGGGGGAGGGGAGCACTTTGGATCCCACACTTTAGCAATGACTGAACACTTCCCCACACTAGCATGGGAACAAACAAGAGGTCCGCGGCAAGCATGCTACAGCTTTGGCTGGATGGCCAGAGTCAGAAGTTCCTGTGTCCATAATTATAACATGGTTATCTCTTTGGCAGGAAAACAGCACATCCGGTGGCAGAGACAAAAGGGAAGATAGCAATGGGAACTGCTGCATTCTGGGACCTGTAGTCTTTGGAGGCCACAGACGTCCCTGGGACCTGTACTCAGGGGTAGTGCATGCTAGGACTTGTAGTCTCAGCTGTCTTCCCCATGGACTGGCTTCTCAAAGGAATTCTCCCTTACTCCTGCAGTTGTTCCCAACTAGGAAAGGTCTTGGCCACATGTGGGCGCTGGTGAGCACATTCTGTCTTTTTCCTATAGCTCTTGTTGACTTATTGGTCTTCACCTTCTCTCTCTCTCTCTCTCTCTCTCTCTCTGTCTCTCTACACACACACACACACACAGACACAGACACAGGCACACACACACACACACACACACACACACACACGGAATCTGGGGACCTCATTAACCCTGTTCTCCCTGCCTTACAGCATGGGGGTTTCCCTCAGCTGCCTGGCCCATGTTCCCCCCAGGGTGCTCACCCTGCCGGCAGCTCCCACACTCACCCTCTCCCCCTAGTCCGCTGAGGTGGCTGCCTGCACTGGAGCCAGAGAGGTTGGGGCGGGCAGGCCGGGGCTGGGGGTGTGGCGTGGAGAGCGCAGGGCCCAACGCGGGGGCGGGACCCTCCACACAGTCGTCTCCCCCATACCCCTGACAGCACCGCCACTCCATATCTGTCACTGTCTTGTAGACCACACGGTAGCGAGGGCGGAGGAAGCTGCGGTACCTGGCAGAGGCAGAGAGAGGCCTCTGTGATCTCTGTTCTGTCCATGACCCAAGTCCCAGTGCTCAGAGATGGGCAGCTACTAGTGAGCAAGGCCTGTCCCTCAGGCTGGGTCCCCTTTCTGGGCGCATGTGGCCTTGCTCAGTTGACAGCTGTCAGCTTTTTGGCCAAAGGCCAAGTCTCTGTTCTTCCTCCCCCTGCCTGGTGCTGGAATCTTGAGCTCCTCTCCTAGAGGATGCCTGGCCCAGAGAAGGCATGGCGGGTGACAGGTAAGAGACGTATGTCCACTGTCCTGCTAGCCAGGCCTCTCCCTGGCATCTCCCCCACAGTGGCTCTGACGGAAGCCCTGTCCTGCTACCACCTGCCACCTGCTTCCCTGAATTGCCCCCTCCACCTTCTGCCCCTTTGCAGCTCCCAAGTGCCCATCCCCTGGCGCTGGGGACTCACATGATGTTTCGAGGACACTGGGGCTGGCCCCAGCTGCAGGGCTGGTAGTCCGGCTTGACGAAGGTCTCTACTCCATCCCCAAGGACACAGCTCACTGTCCGGGTCACCACATAGGCGCACCAGTTCCTGCAGGCACAATCCTACCTGGGCCCAAGGACCAGAGACACGTGCCCCAGAGTGGAGCCTGAGGGGCCGAGGGGGGCTGAAGGGGTCAATGGACGAAGGTCCCTGGGGCTCAATGGGTGGCAGCCTCCCACACTTTCCTGTATAGTCAGAGCACATAAAGACTTCAAGATGGGGAGCAGCACTGAATGGAGAACCGCAGCTGCAGAGAAGTCAGTCCTCGTGGCTGCAGCAACCCGGGGAGCCTCTAGCTTCAGGGTCACCTGTGTCCCTTCTGCCTGTGCCAGGCATGGCATACTGTGTGTGAGCCAGCCAGTGGGGTCCCTGTGGAGCGTCCCCTGGACACAGCTTTTCAACCCCCAGCTCAAGAGGGAGAACAAGGCAGGCTGAACCCGCCCAGGGTTAAGGAAAGAATAAGCCCTTGATGAGCTCTGTGCCCTGGGGCTCACAGCACTGTAGTCTGGGCCTCTTTCACGTGGCCTCTGATCCGTGGCGGGAGGAAGGTGGAGGAGCAGAGCAGGAGTGGTATCAGAATCACGGATTACTAGATGGGGCCGAGGAAGCCCGAGAAGGACAAAAGGTCTGCCCGAGGCTCCAGGACTGGCATACAGCTTGGCAGCTGGCGGGAAGACCTGGCCCATGCCACTCGGTAGTTTCCCTGGGCACAGAGTGCAGGTCCTGGTGGGGAGGAGCAGGGAGCTGATCCCACTCAGCCTGGACCCTGAGAAAGGACCCATGGGAAGGTGGGCTTTGAGGTCCACTGTTGGATGGGCTTCTTTCTCCCCTCCTCCCTGAGTTAGGGCACAGCCCCGAGGAGGGCCACCAGCACCCCCACCTTCTGACTGCCTTCCCACCGGCCTCCCTCCAGGCTGGGATTCAGACTCTTACCTGTGTCGGCTGGCAGGCCGGGACGCACTTTGGGCCTGGGATCCCCCGGGGCTGAGGGCCCGGCTGCCCCCTGTGTAAAGACTGTAACCCCGAGGCGGGTAGCTGGCAGCCCCCACGGCTGCGGTCAGCAGGCAGCAGAGGTAGCAGCTCCAGAAGGTGCTGGGGGCCATGGCGGGGCACTTTGAGGCGGCTGTCAGAGACACATCCCAGCCTGACCACTGCAGCCTCTGCCGGGTCCCGGGGGATGCTGCTGCCCCAGAGGACAGCGACCGGGCCAGTCCTGTCCCTGCTTCCTGCCGGCAGCCCCCAGCCGCACGCCTCCTCCTTGGCTGCCGGGCCTGACCCCTCTCCCCCTCCTCTTTCCTCCTCAGGCTCCCGTCTGTCCCTCCCTCGGTTCCTTCCGCTCTCCTCTTCTTCACTTCTGAGAGGAGTCTGTTCTCTGGGCCCTGGGCCTCCTGTGTCTGGCCCCTGTCCCTCTAGATGCTGCTTCCTGGGCCTCCGCCCCCTCTCTTCAGCTGGCCCTCTTCTGGTGTCCCTGTCCTTTTCCCCCGATGACTGGATCCTGGGGGTGACAGGGCTTTGCCCCTGTGGCTGTTCGGAGGCGCAGGAGTGACTGTGGGACGGGCCACCTCCTCCTCCCGGTTCCCTCCCTCCCTCTCCCCTGTCTGGCTGGCGGTCCAGCCTCCCCCTTCCTCCCCCCACCTCTCCAACCACCATACGCCACATCTGCTTCTTGTTAACTCCGGGAAAGAGAGAGAGAGAGAGAGAGAAAAAAAAAAAGGAAAAACAGAGAAATGTGGAGTTGCCGCCTGGCTTGGGACCAGCCCCTCAGATAGGCCACATGGAGCCTGGGCCAAAGCTGCAGAGGAGGCTCAGGCTGGTGACTAGGACGGGTAATGGGAGCCAGAGGCCACAGCTCCTCTGGGCCAGAACAGTGTCCTGTGGGATAGGACGGAGAGACAGCCCCAAGGAGAAAGCAGGAGGGCAGGACTGCTCAGGGGAGAACGAACTGGGCCCTGTGACCCTCAGGCACCAGCTGGTCCAGCTGCTTCTTTTTAAAGCTGGGAACTGAGGCCCATGGTGGGAAGGTAACTTGTTCAAGGAAACATGGCAAGTCAATGGTAGGGTGAGAGTAGGCTCTAAAGAGCCAGGTGGGTGACCGAGGACAAAGAAGCAGGAGAGGAAAGGGGGCTCCTGGGACTGGGAGGAGAAAGAGCTCCACTGAGGCAGGCAGGAAACCTGAGGAAGACAGAGGAAAAAGAAAGGAACCTAGAAGTGCCGGGGTTGTGAGCAAGAGAAGTCTTTTTCTTAAAGGCCCAAATGCATATGCGCACTGGGTGTATTTTGGGGAAGGTCGGGCCATTACTTTGGGGACACATACAGCTAAGCTTGAGTCACTGCCAACTAAGGAACAACTCGGCTGTTGGGAAATGGGACACAACCCTGAAACAGAACAACCACAGTGTAGGACACACCAACTGCCAAGAGGCCTGGACAAAGGGATGATGTGTGTTCTGGCTAGGAGGAGGGAAGAGACAGCTGGCTGCTGGGGGTATGCAGAGGAGAGCTGTGGAAAAGAGAGAACTTAGGTAGTAATGTCAGTTTAAGTGGGGTGGGAGGGCAGGCTCAGGAAAAGTGGTCTGCCTTCGTTCCCTTGTAGCTAGCATAGGAATTTCATTAATAACGGTATGCTCCATTCCAGGGTGTGAGGGTGTTCAGAGAACAAGGCACATCATTTCCTGGAACGGGGAACATTTATGTTATCTTGAGCAGGAGGAGACCTATGGAATCTGTGAGTCTGCAGGAAGTTCCGTCTTGGGTCTTGGTGTATGGGAAAAGGATGGCCTACCCACAGGAAGATAGTGGCCCATTTGACAGTGAAAAGCATGAGCCCAGTTTTGCGTTTTGTTTTTTTAAGGTGGATGGATGATCTAAGCATTCTTTGAATTTTTTCAGTGTGCTCCTTTCTCTTAAGATCAGGTTCCTGCTCTTTACTTTCTTAGCTAAGCTACAAGGGCTTGCACTATCCTTAAGGAATTTTGGGTATGATGGGTCTGGAAAGAAAAAAGCAAAAATTAGCCTAGGGAATGCCAGTATGGATAGCCTTGGGTAACCTGAGCCCTGGAAGTTGCAGTCTTCCTAAGGGTACAGTTCTTATTCCTTGTCTACTCTCTACTTATCTTTATTTCTTCTATCCTATCTCAAGTTCCCCCTTAACTAGCAGTGACTTTCCGCAAATTCCATGCCACCATCAAAAGTCTGCTTTCTAGGCCTGCTTCCAAATTCTACACTGCAAAGCAATGCAGACAGGCTCTGGTGGTGACAATGACCATGAAAAGAACAGAAAAGTTATGACTGCGTGGTGACTACTATGGTAGTGTGAGACCAGATGAAAAGATATTCCAGAGACCACTCCTGAGTTTGAGCCAAAATAGGGAGGATGGAAAGAAGAGCAGGTTGGAAGGTTTGAAAGAAATGTGATCTTAGTTTGGACATTCTGGACTTAAGATTAGAGTAACAAACACATTGTAGTGAAAATAAATATCCAGGAGAGGGTTAGAAATGTGGATCTGGATTCTGGGAACCATTTCCAGGGTATTGGAGGCCATGAGAATGAATGTCACTGAATCTTCAGTGTGACTCTGAAAGACCTGCTTCTGATGTTCTCTGGCCTAGAATGTGACCTTGATGGCTCGAAGAAATGCTGATGCAAAACCAAGGCAAAGAAAGCAATCTCTAGAACCAAACAGAAATGGAAATATGTGGCTTCTCTGTAGAGGTTTAGGGACAAGCACAAAGGTGGTACTTGAAGGAAATGTTCACAGGAGATCCTGATTTCAAAGGTTTTGTCAGTGAAAAGTTGTAGATTTATCCCTGGTCTCTACAACAGTTCTAGGCCCTGGCAGAAAGCCAGCCCACTTCCCTTCCAGATTACCCTGGCTGCTAGTAGGAGTTTTTTTCTTTGCTCTGTGCTTCTCCTCTGCTCTCAGGGAGTCTTTAACAACCTACAAAATCATGCTAGTGATCTCATCACTGTCCAATTATTACCCATTTCCTCTCCTGCTCTCTGGAGTTAAAAAAATTTTTGTTGTATTATATAGCCAGGCATGGTAGTACATGCCTATAATCCTAGCAATCAGGAGGCTGAGGCAGGAGGACTTCCAAGAGTTGGAGGCCAGCCTGGGCTACATAGAGAGACCCTGACCCTCCTTTTTGTTGTACAGTTTAAACATGTGAAGTAAAAAATGTTGGCTTTGAAATACAGTTACAATAGCTTGCATTTCATTTAGTCCTATAATTAGGAGTCAAGATCTAAGAGCTGACACGATCGTTTGTGAGATCTGAAATAAACCAGTAGTGATGCTGACGTGGTGTGGTGGTGATGTTATTGGCAGGCAGCCACAAATTTCCAAAACTAACACTTTAGAAAGCCTCAATTTCCAAGAATCACAGACACTAAAAAAGGCCAAGTCCCTGGGGCAAGAGGACAGGATCTATTTTATAATCTCTTCAAAACGGGAGGTTTCCAAAATGTTGGCCATACTACGAAATAAATGCATTCCATTCAGCTATCACTGACTGAGTATGAACTAATGTGCCCTAGGTAGGACAGTCAGTAACTCAGATCGCACAATCTGGAGGTGGGTAATATCTTGCCTTGGGAACAGAGCAGTATGAAGAAGGCTGCATGATCCCTGCTATGGGCAGAATGTGAAAACCGGGCACTCTGGGGCAAGACAGCAACTGCTGAGGACAGTTGTCAATATACGGGCATTTGGGTGTAGAGAAAAACTGGTTCCTTACTAACCGAATCCTAATCCACCCATTCTCTGTTGTTGCTGTTTCATGAAATGTGTCCTACTCCTTCCTCTGTTCGTCTCACTAATAAAAGTGGGTCAACCAAGGAGTTCACTGAGTCTGTCCACTAAAGGCAGGGCTCCTCCCAGTACCCTTCTTATATCTTGAAAGTTGTCTTTGTCTCTTTCTTTTATTCCTCATTGTTCCCTCTAACAGGTAGCTGAGGGTCTGATCAACCCTCAGCACCTTGCACATGTTAATCCAGATAGGAGTTCAAGATTGCAGGAGTCTTTTTTTTTAAAGCAAAATATTTACTGGTACACTTCAGATGTAATGATTACACTCCTCATAAGGAATTTGCACCTGGCCTGGGATTTAGCTCAGCCGTTCGGTGGCCTCCCTTGCAAGCGCAAGGACCCGAGTTCATTCCCTGGTACCAAAACAAAACAAAAAAGGAATTTGCACCTGTACATAATATATCCTGCCTTCCCCTATTTCTCCCTCCCCTGCCTATACACAAGAGCGTTGTTTCCATTTTTCCTTCTATTTTCCCATGTCCCTTCCTTCCTTTTCCCCTTCCCCTTCTCTTGTTCCCTTTCCCATTTGAACATTTTCTTCCCATTTCCTGATATCTATTACACATTTTAGTCCTTATTTCCACTCTCAGTTTCTCACACCAGAGGAAAACAATGCAGTATTCAACAATGTGTCCAATTTACTTCAATTAAGAGTATGGTCTAGGGGCCAGGGATGTAGTTCAGTGGCACTGTGCCTGCCTGGCAAGTGCAAGGACCTGGGTTCCATCCCTGGTACCACACACATATAGCCTCAAGGTATACCCATTTACCTATAAATGTCTGAAATTCACCCTTCTTTATGGCAGAGTAGTGCTCCGTTATATTTTAAAAACCCCAATTTTCTTTATCTATTTGCCAGTTGATAAGCATTTCAGCTATTACAAATTGATTTAGCTATTACATATTGTGCTGCTATGGGGCTGGGGATTTAGCTCAGTGGTTCTGCCACCTGCCTTGCAAGCACAAGGACCCGAGTTCCATCCCCAGTACCAAACGAAACAAAACAAAACAAAACAAAAAAACAAACCCAAATTGTGCCACTATAAACATGGCTGTGGATATATCACTGTGGTATGTGCCTTTAATTATTTTGGGAAGATACCAAGAAGGGGAATAGCTGGGTCAAACGGAACCTCTAGTTTTACTTTTTTGAGGAATCTCCACACTGGTTTCCAAAGTGGTTGCACCAGTCCATACTACCACCAAAAGGGTAAGGGTTCCTTTTTCCCCACAGCCCTCCAGCATTTGTTATTCGCTTTTTTTTGGTACCGGGGAATTGAACTCGGGTCTTTGTGCTTGCAAGGCAGGCCACTGAACCGCTGAGGTAAATCCCTGGTCCTCGCTTACTTGATAACAGCCATTCTTTCTGGAGTGAGATGGAATCACAGCATTGTTTAATTTGCATCTCTCAAATGATTAGTAATGTTGAACATTTTTACAGTACTTATTTGCTATTTCTACTTCTTCATCTAAAGAAGTGTCTATTCATTTCAGATGTCCATTTTTGGATTGGGTCTTTAAATTTTTTTTTGCGGGGGGGAGTCTGATTTTTTTCTTCTGGTACCAGGAATCAAACTCAGGACTTTGTGCTTGCCAGGCAAGCATGGTACTACTGAGCTAAATCCCTGGCCCTGGGGAAATCTGATTTTTGAGTTCTTTATATAGTCTAAATAGTAGTCCTTTGTCTGAGGAATAGCTGAGAAAATTTTTTTTCCACACTGTGGGCTGTATCTTCACTTTGTTGGTGGTTTCTCTTGCTGTGCAAAAGCTTTTTAATGAGATCCCAGTTGTTAGATTATTTGTGATAGTTCTTGTGCAATCAGGGTTTTCTCCATAAAGTCTTTGCACACTGTCTTCTAGAATTCTACCTTCCAGCAGATTTTAATATTTATACCTTTGACCCATTTCCATTTTAGTTTAGTGTACTGTAAAAGATATGGTTCTAGTTTCAATCTTCAGCATGCGGAAAAAGCCAGATTTTTCCAGTACTATTAGAGGCTGTCTTCCAGTGAAGGTGTTTGGCTCCTTTGTCAAAGATAAGATGGCTAAGTATGTCTGGAGTTGTTTCTGCATCTTCTAATCTGTTCCATTAATCCTCAGGTCTGTTTCTGTTTTTATTTTTACTTTTCCCAGTACCATGCTGTCTTTATCACAGTAGCCTTGTGGGGAGTCTTGAGCCAATATCCCTTGCTCCCCAAATGCAAACAATTTTTTCCCTTTCAGGTATAAAACTTCAGGGACCAACCTCCCTGGATTTGAGGCCCGTCCTTCTTTCCTCAAGTCTTGTTGTTTTGTCACTCCTAAGCAAACTCCACGCCTCGTGTCCTTTCCCTGAAAACTAAACAGACATTGGACTCTGTAAGTACCCCTCCATCATGTCACTTGGGAGTCCCCCCAGGTGACACTTTGCATCTTCCTTCCCACATACTTTTCCATCCAAGCTTTTTTCAAGCCTTGTCAGTTCTTAGCTGAGTCTCGTTTGGTTCAGGAGACTATTTTTCCTTTCAGTTCTTCCAGGCACTAGGCCAAATGATCCATTCAAGGCTGATAAAGACTTGGCTGACCTAGGCACAGGAAGTTCTGAGAGGTGAAGGACATTTTTGGGTACTTCTAAAATAAGTCCTTTCCTTCTTGCCCCTGACCCTAGGATATACTGGAATCCACACTCTTGACGTGGAATGTAGAAGCATGGCCAGGTTATCTTCTGGGCCTCTGTTTCCTTCTTTACAAAATGATCCTGAAAGCATCCTTCAGCTGTGATAAGATACTGTATACCTTGGTCAGCGGGTTTTAGGACAGGCTTGGAAATCTGAAGCATTTTCCAAGGACTTCTCTGTAATCTGCAATCCAGAAAAGACCAGCCTAGAGGTACTGTTTATTTTATTTTTGGTACTGGGGATCGAACTTGGGCCCTTGTGCTATCGAGGCAGGCACCAGAACCACTTAGCTAAATGCCTGGCCAGAAGGAACTGTTTATTTTAAAAAGGAAGCTGTCTTAATCACTTTTCTTGTTGCTGTGACAAAATACCCAACACCCAAAGTTAAAGGGGGAAAGGTTTATTTAGCTCAGTTTGTAGAAGTTTCAGCCCATAATTGGCTGGCTGAAAGGCAGAGTGGCATGGTGTGCAGAAGGGCAACAGTTCACGGTGCACAGAAGACAGCAAAAGTGAGCAAGCAAGGGACCTTAACAGCATCATTCTGGCCCTTTTATCTTATTCAGACTACTTAGGGCAGGTAGCACTCATGTCCTTAATCCTAGTACCCTCAGGCCTAGCACTGTACCATGAGTCAGTCACACACTCAACATTCAGCCACCTCTGAAAAAGCCCCACCAAAGACCACAGGAGGCTTTGGGGGGAACATCTAGATCCAAACCATAACAGAGGTCTAGTTCTGATTAAACAGTAGACCTAAGTGTCTGGTTGGACTTGGGTCTGCTTCAAATTTCCAGGAAACATGAAGCATAATGATGTATAACCCTTTAAGACCTAGACCTTCACTCTCTCCAAGCAGAGCTGGGAACACAACAGCTGAGAAGGGACGGACAGGGAGAACACGTCTGGGTTTCCCCCAGTGTTACGTGGAAAGCTTTGGGCTTGGGATTCTAAATATGAAACTTCTGGGAAATGGTGGGGGCTCAAGGGAGAGGAGGAGGGAGGCCAGGAGAACTACATACAAACCAAGCTGGAACTGGGTTAAGGAGCCACTGTGCTGAAAGAGGGAGAGGGGTGATGGGACACAAACGGGATGGTTTCTGGCCAGGGAAGTCGATTTGGGAGGGTGCAACCCAAGGACGTTGGTTCCCCGTCCTTGCTGTTAGTGCCCCATGGCAGCTCCTGTAGAGTTTTCTTTGGCTCAGAGAAGCACAGGCCTCCCAGGAGCCCTGGCCCCCCTCTACCGCAAAGCAACTGGCTTCCATTACCCCTGACAGCTCGAGTAATAGCCCAGCCCCGACCGTGTCTGGCTCCCCGCCATTCCCTTTTATGGTGAAGCTCAGAGAAAGCAAGGAGTGAGCGGGAGAAGGTTCTATTTGGGCAGAAGGTTGAAGAGCTCCAGGGTGCTACTCCCCTCACTAGAGAAGGTTGGCTGCCTACCGCAGCCACCCTTTTTCGGCCGAACCAGCGACCTTTCTTGCTTGCCTTGGCTTTTCCTCCCTTCCCCCCTCCCTCACATCCGGGGGGTGATTTCCCACTTGGCCTGGGTCCCACGGTTTGGGTGTTGATTCGGGGTGGGCCCGCCTTTTCCGACACCCACCTCCAGGAGTGGGGTGGAGGCAGGGATCCCGCGTAAGGTAGGCACTGGTCAGATCACAGTCAGGGTCGGCCTACTCGGTCGGATGGGGTCGGAAAGGCTGGCCCCGCGAGGAGCAGCGGGAGCCCCAGCCCAGACCCATTTTGCGCCTCCTTTCCACTCCGTTCCCGCCGCCCGAGCCAGGGAGGGGACCGCGAGGGCAGGACCCAAAGGAAGCACCTGGCCGGGTCGGGAAGTGAAGGGTGGGCAGCAGTGCGGCGGTTCGGGCAGGAAGGGGGCTGGGACCCACGGCCAGGCCGT